TGCAATATTTCTAAATGAATTTGAGAAAAATTCAACATAAAATTAAAAATACCTATCTTCTTCAGAGGTCTGTTGATCCATCTCATCAAATTTCCGTGTAAGGACTTCTGCCCCCACTGGTGAAAGCATGTGCAATATTAGAGCCTCCAAAGTTCTGGGGAAGTTTTGCTGAAAGGAATAACATGATATGAAATGATGGGAACTTTTTATAAAACTGTGGAAGTAAAAGGACAATCAATCATCAATAATTAAAATTTTGTGCATTCAACAAGCAATAAATTGCAATTCCTTCAACTGACTCAACCACAAACCTTTAGATATAACCACCCACTTTCTGCTTCAACCAACATAATCTTCGTTTAATCACATTATTTTTCAAAGATATTGATCTAGCAACTAGTTACATGAGGTGCCACAACGATTCAACAAGGATTTTTCCAGTTTTATATCTATGCATGCAATAAGAAACAAATTATTCAAGACCACACCTCTACTTCATAGTGTGAACAGAAACTTCAACAACTGGCTGTTATGTGTATGCTAAATAGGATGTAGAAACTCACCGCCATAGCAAAAGAGACTTCTTGAAAAGCATGGGCTTCAAGGGTCCACAGAATTTTAGCAACTGGATCATCCTCCAAGCAAAATAATTTTGTTGTCATTATCTTCCCATACTTGTCTTTCACATTTAAGTCGGAATTAGAAGTTGATGTGGAGACCACGGGTTGACCTAAGTCGGAAACGTTAACATGGTCATGGACTAAAGAAACAAGTTTATGAAGAGCCTGGAGAGAACAAGGTTGCAAATCATGCAACAAACTCCTATGTTGTGGTTCCTTTCCTTGCAGATCTTGTCTTTCGTGTGACTGGTCCAAACCATGGTTGGTCTGATCTGTTAAAATTTTATCAGTTCAGTCACCATAATTTCCCACAGGCATTATCCTAATTTGCAAATTTCCTATTTTTACTTCAACCAAAACATATGAAAATGCAATAGATGGCTGAGTAATATATATGATAGCTTTGACCATGCTCATCGAGAACTGACCTGGTTCCTCGTTATTAAGGAGCTCACAAGTATGCCTCTTCAGTCTCTTTGTACCAGCAGAAGCCTTGTCCAGTATTTGGTTCTGGCGTAATTTCAAATATAGATATGGCTCACAATGCTAAAAAACATTTCTGATTGAAAAGAAAAGGAACCAGGGAAAAAGGCAGAGAATCAAGAAATTAGACTGCCCAATGAAACAGAATAAAGAAGCACAAAAGTAATGTTAAATTATTTTTTCAATAAATATGCTTAACACGCTGACACTTTCATTATAAGTTTGAAATTAATTAAGGGTTAAAGTAAATAAAAAAAATTCCAGATATAATTTTGTAGAGACTTGAAATGCCAAATTTTTCAGAGATAAATTATCATCAGCTACATCAAAATTTCTGTAAAAATTGGATAAAATGTTCAGATGTTTACTATAATAACTCAAAAAATACCCAAGCTTTCATAAAAAACTTCGACAAATAATTTCTGGGAGAACTCTTTCTCAACAAACGAGCTGTTAATAAGTAAAATACACCCAAAGTCATTTTCCCAATGAATTCAAAAAGTATAATTTTGATGGAAATCATTGGCAGGGCTCATAAATAATGTAGAAAATGTTGTTGAAATGAAGTAGAAAGAAGGTAGTCCCAACCAGATTTATCAACTTTATGTGGAACTTGAACCAAAAAACAAAAGAAAATCCATTTAAGTGATACACATACCACTTCCCTGTCCGCCAATCTTCAATACACAATATTGATTTGATGAGCACAGGAAACATGATGATGAAACAAAACTCAAGTTAGTTTACATATATTTGGTAATGCTTGACAAAAATATTCTAACATTGTGGAGAAAAACATGAAAAAGGAGACAAGGACTTAAAAAAAAATTTTGAAGATTGTCGCAGGAACCTTCTTATTATTCTACGCAAATAATATGCATCCATGTGTTCTGACAAGCAAGACATTATGTTGGACTGCCACCAAAAATTAACTCCAATGGTAATATCATCACTATCTATTTGGTGGAACCTGAACAATTAGAACAACAATCAACCAGATGATTGTTAGCATATGACAAAATTATAGAAACAAAGTAATAAATATTCCTATAATTAACAAAATTACTTAAACAATACAAGAAGAACTATCATATCCTAAGAAGGTTTCTACCAATGAAAACAGGTGAGCATACAAACAAAGTATGGGCTCCTAATAAGGCGATTTTGTAATAATCATGAGTGTATAACCTTACCAGCCTTCAGGAATGAAAAGTGCATCACCTGCATGAAGAATAACCTTCTGAGAGTACTCCCTGAAGCACTCTGCTCTGGGATACATCGAAAAATCGGGACTTTCTAGAGTAATAGAGCTGCCAAAGAACATAAGCAAATTAAGAAAATTAGATATAGCAAGAATAAAAATCTGAAAACCATCCAATTAGCAAAGCAAGAGTTGGAAGTAAAATATTTTCATAGTCTTATGGAAAATAAGAATAAAAAAGGGAACAAGAGTTAATTTCCTAATATACATACATAAATTAAGAATACCTGTGATTTGAGGCCTCCCCATATATAGGCATTGGGTATAGCATGGGACAAGCAGAAGGGGGCCATAAAGCAACTGTCAAGCAAAAAAGTTCGTAAAAAGATTCATATCCTGGATCTAGTATAACTAATATGACAATTCATTATGAAAGTCAACCAAATACCATTGTTCAGAAATACAACCCATAAACTTAAGGTATTAGGTGAAGGACCCAACAAAAGTATACATAGACATAGCATAAACTAATTTAGCAACATTATACACACTAATAACAATAACGTACAACAATTAATAAATAAACCAATTAGAGAAAAATTAGGTATACAAGATGAAAACATCAGATAGCCAGAAGGTTCAACCGACTTTACCTTGTTTGCAGCCAGCAACTATACATAGCAGATTATGGTGTGGATCATAGTGAGTACTTGATTTAGCTTGAGCATTGTTCATCCACAGATTGATAGAAGCTATTATTTTTGTCTCCAAAAATGCAGGCTGTGCAGATTGAGCAAAAGAAGGACATAAAAAAATAAAGGTGAACTGCAGAGAATGAACAGAATCCTAAGCGATGAACTATAACTAGAGAAATGGAGCTCTGGAGACATATCTACAAACCTTTTGAATGTCTTCCTTCAGAGATTCCAGTTGCACCCTCTCTTCATTCTCGTTATTCATGATTGGTACCTGAATCATTATATATTTCATCCAAAATATGCAACAGAATTACCCCTCATACAAACAAATACACTGTAATCCTAACACAACTATGCCCTCAACAGCATTAAACTAGTGAAGACATTTTATTTGTAGAGGATCAAAAGAAGAAATTGTAAATCCATCACCAGAAAGTCTTTAATTACCTGTGCTAAATAAATTTGTTGCGAAGCAACATCCCCAGGAAGTAAACAAGGTTCCTCTTTCTCGGACCCCACTTGCAGATGTCTTTCTGGTTCAACACAACTGTCCATTTTCTGCTTATGTTCCTTACAGTAACCAATAAAAGTAGAAAATGGCAATGGAACCTACAACACAAACGGAAAACAAAAATGTAGAGGTCCAGTCTCTAACGCCATACAAAAGAAGAAGCAACACAAAGCTCCACATATACATCAAAAGATGAAAAAGTTTGATGGCCTCACCCTCTCATGTCTTCTAATATCACCATAAAAAACAGGTGCAGTTCTGGATAGCATAACCTCCACAACAGAAGACCCTACCCGTTCCTAATAGTAATTTAAAAATCATGAACATAAGAGCTTGGAAAATTAAACAAAGTAATCTAGGTTTCACATTCGACCTAAAACAACAATTAACAAGTTAATAACACTATCATTCACACAAATTCTTGGAAGCAAGAAAAAGTGATTAACCTGCAAATAGTCGAGGCCGCCTTCAGAAGGATTCCACTTGGAGAAAGCTTTCCAGTCCTTAATGCTTCCTTTAAACACCTTTAATAACGAAGAATTAGAAATGAAAAGTAAGATTAGTAATTAATTAATTAGTTAATGGAGGAGAAGAGAGGATGATTGATGAGATTACAGCGGGAATGTTTTTAGACTCAATCTGAGACGCGAATTCTGAGGCGGAAGGAATTTGATCGAAGTCGAAGATTCGAATTTCACAAGACTCTTCCATTTCTTTCATGTGATGTGTAAGATGATTGAGCAAAGAAACAATTCGAGTAAGAGCTACTGAAATTTTGAGAGCGAGTGGCTTAAACTGAGTGAGGTGGAACACAAATTCTCAATCAATTTTCACGCGCCAAGGGTTCCGAGTTCCAATTTAGGACCTTATTGTGCTTGTTAAGGCCCCTAAGATTGTTCGGTTGGATGGGTTTGTCTCCATTTTTTAGCCCAATTCAATTAGCGTCCTTGAATTAACAAAAATTATGGGTTTATCAAGTGTCACCCCTTTGGTTTGGCACGTAAACCTTCAAATGGTGTTTATGTCAGGTAAATGCAACGGTTCAAAGGACAGAAAATAAACCACTCTTTTTTTTTTCTTTTTTTTTTTGGTGTCCGGGGGGTGTCCGGGCACCTCAATTAATCTCCCAAGGTCTGAAGTTAACGGCTAGAAAAGCTTTAAGTGGAAAGCCCTTATTAGTAGTTATGAAAATTCAAACTTAGAACATCTTAAGTAATACATCCAAGAATCTCAAACGAATCGTCAAGCCTAAAGGTAGTTTAAAATAAACCACTCACCTGCCAACAAGGAGGGAACAAATCAACAAACCGTAAGACGAAATTACCGAACTTCTAGCCTTCGTTATTTCTCATCTTGCAGACTCTGTCCCACTCTCATCCTGCACTTCTCTCTTCATATAAATTAAAGATTAAAAAAGAATCAACAAACAACTTGAAACTCAAAATCAAAATCGAGTATGAACATGAGACTTCGATCGGCAGAAATCTGTTTAATACTAGCATTTATTCTCAGCTTCATCCGCCATGTATGCACTGTTTCTATAAACGTAAACGAAGTAGAATGTGTATACGAAGAAATCCTGCACGAGGGCGATGCCGTTTCTGGGAGTTTCGTCGTCCTCGATCATGAAATATTCTGGACCTCGGATCATCCCGGAATTGAAATGACTGTAATTACGTTCTCAATAATTCCATTTTCTGTCTTTCTTTTATTATTCAATTCTCTCAAAATCATTATTATGTACGCACGTAGGTGACATCTCCGGCGGGTCAGGTTGTGTATTCTCTGAAGGGAACTTCAGGGGACAAATTTAAATTCAAGGCCACGTACAGTGGGATGTACCAGTTCTGTTTTCGTAATCCGATTTCAACACCAGAAGTTGTTTCTTTCCACATTCATGTCGGGCATATCCCGGATGAGCACGACCTGGCTAAAGACGGTGAGTTCAAAATCTTGGTTATTGTCTCCTTTTAATCTGTTGAGAACTTATCTGTACTTGTTGCAGAACATTTGGACCCAATCTATATTAAGATTGCAGAGCTGAGAGAGGCATTGGAGTCTGTCACGGCAGATCAAAAATATTTGAAAGCACGCAATGTTCGACATCGATACAGTGAGTCTCTAACTAAATCTCTACCTCTTCTCTTTGAAATTTTAATTAGGTAACCAGTTAATTACTTCCACATGAGATTTAGTGTATACTACCGCCCCACATCCAATGTATTACTGAGTTGATGCCAGCAATTTATTAAAAATGTATTTTCCACCTTTTTATGTTGGATTACTTTGAATGTTAGATTACTGGAAAGTTAGATTATTTTGAAAATTATTAAGAAATTTTAGGAAAATGTGTTTGGTTAGTTGATGAGTATATTATATTAATATGTTTGGTTGGGAGGAATAAATTGGTGGGTATGTTATTTAAATTACTAATTGTCCTATAATTAAATATTATTATTTTGTTATTTATATTGTTATTTGGATTATATAACCCCCTACATTTAAAAACATAGCAAAAACAACCTCATAATAAAAGTTTGGAAAATCAACAATACACCCCCACCAACCCAGCCACTGTCGCCCGCCGGCAACCACCACCAGTCGCAGGCAGCCGGCAACCTAACAGCTCAACGAAAGGCAGAAAATGGCCTCCGTGCATCGTATAACCATTTCCGGCCAGAGATCTAATTAGGAATGGTCAGATCGATGGTCGTTAAAAGCACAAATGTGGCCATTAACAGCCAGATCGACGGATCTGGCCGAGAATGGCCATATCGACGCACGGTGACCAGTTTCGGCCTTTTGTGCTCCGTTCTGGGGGCGACGGTTGTTGCCTGCAGCCAACGGCGACAGGTGGGTGGGGGTGGTGGCTTGGGTGGACTGTAATTTGTTTTGAATTCAAAGGTAATTTTGTCTAAAAAGTCAATTAATTTAGGTGAAATAGTAAAAGCAGTAATAATGTAAATTAATTTAAAAATAAAACTATTGTTGTCCTAAAATTTTGTTAATTACGAATAGAATTATAACAAAAAAAAGATTACCTTGATAATCTTACAATACCTAAGAAAATCGAGGTAATCAGATTACCTCAGACATTACCAACAGTAACTACTATTAGTATTTGAAGATTACTGGAATTTCATATTACTTGACAACCAAACGTAATAATCAGGTAATATAAGATGACATAACCCCAGTAATCACATCCCAACCAAACGCCCCCTTATATCAATCAAAGGTAACAGCATTAATTACTTTTGGGCAGACGAGCGGTTCAATAAAGACTCTTGGGTATATTACTCAATAAGTCATGAGTTCGAATCTCTCCTTAATTGCTAATAGGGATAGCAAGTAGCAACTGAAGCTCTTACCTAATCGATAGTTTCAGGTCCCAGTGATTAGTTGAGGTATGCATAAAGGGGCTCGGATGCCCACAATCATAAAAAAAAAAAAAAAAAAAAAAAAAAAGTTAACCTCGTTAATTCCTCTAAATTGAGGAATAAAATTTTAATGTCAAATTCTCGATTGCTAATATGAGTAACAACTAAAGTGTTTACCTAGTCAGTAGTTCCAAGGTTACAAAAATTAGTTGAGGTATGCGTAAGCTGACCCGAATACTCCCAATTATTAAAAAAAAAAAAAGGTAACCTCGTTTATTCCTCTTAAGTGAGGAATGTTTTTTTTTTTTTTTTTTGTATTTGGGGGTGTCCGGACCAACTTGCACAAGCATCAATTGTTTTCTGAGACCCTAAAGTTAACTATTAGTTAAGCCTCCAATAACTACCCTTATTAATAGGGAATTGGAGGAATAAAATTTTTGTGCAAAAATCTCACAAGTGAAGTTCCGATATATTAAACTCATAGAAACATCAATCGAAAGCAAGAGCATTAATTTCTCAAAATTGAGGAATAACATTTTTTGCGCCAAACCTCGTGAGTGAAAATTAATAAAGCCTTATGTAAAAGCTCAACAACTTTTTTTTTTTTTTATTATTATTATTATTGGCAGCGAATTTGAGCATCCGGAAACGCGTTATTTTCTACACAATCTCGGAGTATTTCTTATTGGTTGGTGCAAGTACGCTTCAAGTGATGTACATTCGTCGTTTGTTCAGCGACCCAGCTAATGGAAGAGTTTGAATGTTTGATCTACTTTAAGTTAGGGTAAAATGTTTCTAATTTTGATAATATTTTAATTCAGGGATTTTTTTTTTCTTTGTTAAATTAATAATCTTGTAGTAATTTTATTCTATCTTTTCCCCTAACATTTTAAAATTTTATCAAAAACTATGATTTTATCTTAATCAATATTTTATATCCAAATATGTATATAGTATTTTTCTAGTTATGACCATCCTGATATGATTATATCAAGATCATACATATTCATTGTTAGATCTTTATATATAAAATATCATTTCAGTCTAATAGGTGGATTATGAATGCAACAGTGAAAATGTATGGTTTTGATATATAAATATCTAAACATTGATTTATATACCCATCGGATTGAAATAGTATTTTATATATAAAGATCTAATCATAAATATATATAGTGTTTGATATTTCATAACCAGAGAATTACCTTTGGATAGTTGTTACACCAAACCTAAAGCGACAACAAAGTAATTAACTACCTTTAAAATGAGTAAGAAATAACAAAGTTTGTAGAAGATGGTGCAATATCCCAACAACCAACAGAAATGACGCAAAGAAAATGACATTATTAATTTATTATGATAGGATAATAACAATTTCATCTTTGAGGTTTAGTCACAGTTGATAGAATTTGAGGTAGGTCTGACTCTTTGTTCAATAAGGCCTTATTGAATTGGAGGATTAACCCCTCTTATAAACCAATAGGCTTGAGCATGCTTAGTCGGTGTGAGACTCTAACACTCCACCTCACGGTCAAGCCCATATGTTGAGTTATACCTGTTGATGGAGATAGTTGTTAGCTCAAACTCCTCACCCGTTGCCCGTTGGTTAAGCACTCAGCTCAACTGAACATGTACTCTTCTGATACCATGATAAAATTTGAGGTGGGTCTGACTCCTCACCCAATAAGGTCTTATTGAATGGAAGGATTAACCCCACTTATAAATCAGTAGGTTTGAGCATGCCTAGTCGGTATGAGACTCCAATATAAATCACACTTTAGTCTTGTAAGACTGTTCAATAATTATTTGATCCCTGTCAATTACATTTTGGTCCTTGAAAATAACAAACTCATGGACTAAAATGTTGCTTAAACCAAACTTTAAAGACCAAACTTATTATCCCCGTTATGATTGATTTGTAGTTGTTTCCATTAATTTGGCATAGAAATGAATGTGTCTGTCGTGACAAAATGATGCTTTTTCTTTCTAATTATGAATTGTTATATGTAATTCAATAATGTCTTTGGATTTTATTTTATTTTTATTTATGGCTACCCATTAAAGTTGTCTCCTTGTTAAATGCTTGTTTAGTTGGTGGACTATATTAATAAACCAAAATCAACTCTCTCTATTTTTAGTAATTAGAATTTTTTTTTTTTTTTTTTTAATGTATAATCTTGGTTTAGAACAATTATAATGGAACAGACCTATGTATAAATAGTGCGTACATGTCGCATGTATTAATATGATCTACACTTATTGGATAAATGTATATATATTTATTTTACAGTAAATTTTTCTTATATATATTTATTTTACAGTAAATTTTTCTCTCTTCGATGTTTTCTCTCGTATTTAATATTGTGTCGTAGATTAAGTAGAACAAGGGTTTTTACAGTAAATTTTTCTCTCTTCGATGTTTTCTCTCGTATTTAATATTGTGTCGTAGATTAAGTAGAACAAGGGTAAGGCTTAGGAGTACTCAAGTGATTGTAAATTGATTTCCAATAAAAATGTTTAAAACAATTCAAAAGCAATTTCTTAAAAGGAAAATTATACTGAAGAACTCTGAATCCATTTGGGTGTAGTGATGGCAATGGGCCAGGCTGGAACTGGGTACCCCTTGGCCTAGGCCCAAGCCCGACCTCATGACAAAGGCTCAAACCGGCCTGGGCCCATCACGGGTATGACAGGTAAAGCCCAAACTGGGTTTTTTTGTAATCTCAGGCCCAACCCAAACCCACCCATTTTTATAATGTGAATTTTTAAATATTAATAAATTTCAATTTTTTTTATATTTTTAATTATAGAAATAATTTTTAAATATTAATTTATTTTTGAATACTCACCAAATATATAAATAATTTTCCATAAAGTGCATCCATCCATCCATGAAGGGTTTGGAAAAAATGAGTATATATATGTAGGATAATCTTGTAATTAAATATATAATATAAGGGTAATTTAGTATTATTAATATTAAAATTATCGGGTCAGGCAGGGCCGGACCTGAAGACATACCCAAGCCCGGCTCGTATTCGAGGTTGGGCCTTAAAATCAACCCAAGCCCAAGCCCAAGCCCATGCCTGCGAACATCGGGTAAAGCCCGACCTTTTCAAGCTGGGTCGGGCCGGGTACTCGGAAATATCAGGCCCATTGCCATCTCTATTTGGGTGTTGAAAACTTTCGCACTCTAAATCTATAAGGGGTGCTCTACAGTAAATCAACTTATAATATGTGATATCTATTTTGTAAAGTTTTTAGTAACAAGTATGTATGTATATTTTGTTTGTTCGAAGAATTGTATTTTCAATTCATTGATTTTTACTACGGAGTTATATGCATTATATAGGGAGAGTACAATCATCTCAATCTCATAATTATATCAGTTATAGATTATACAATATACTGACATAATTATTAGGGAGAGCACAATCAATTGAATCTCTTAATTATGTCAGTTATAGATTATACAATACACTAACATAATTAGAAGATTACACAATATTAATAATATTGTAAGACTGACAAAAATAGGAGATTACAAAATATTCAATAGATCTCAACATATTTATCCAATTAAGGAATAAACATTAAAAATATATTTATATGAATTTATAATGTATTTCATCTTCTTGCTTTAGTTATATTAAAAAAAAATAATTAATCGTAATAAATAATAATGCTTTAATTTTTTCCCATTTCTTATACAAAATTCAACATATACTCTCTTTTCTCTTATTTAAAATATTTTTTATTCATTTCTTTTCCATTATATATTATTCTCTTATATGAACAACATTCGGGGGTGGAACCAGAAAATTTATTCCAAGGGGCCAAAATGTAATCTTTAATGAATAGAGGGGCCGTATTGTGGTTGGAAGTTATATTTATACTTTATAGGGTCAAAAGTGTTAAGTGGAAAATCTAGAGTGGCCAAAGTGAAAGCTGAACTTATAGGGACTAAATTGATAAATTCCTTCATAAGTTTAAAAAGTTTTAAGGTCAAAGTTGGTCATAGACAACCACCACTAGGTGGTCTAATATAAAAGAGTAAAAGAGAATCTAAGTTTATATGAACTCTCAAATTTAAGTTTCCACAACTCCTAATAAGGGTAACTATTAAAATTCTTACACGATCGGTAGTTTTAAGGTCTCGAAGGATTAATTGAGGTGTACGTAAATTAGCTCGAACACCTCCAATCATAAAAAAAAAATCATGAGTCTCTCTGATAACATTAATAAGTTTTTCGTACGTATCTTTAAAATTTTCAAACTTTCTTGAAAATAATAGGGGTGGTCATAAAATTCTTACACGATCGGTAATTCCAAGATCTCGTAGGATTAGTTGAAGTATGAGCAAATTAGTTTGAATACTCTCGATCATAAAAAAAAAATCAAGAGTTTCTGATAACATTAATAATTTTTCGTATGTATCTTTAAAAGTTTATGATTTTTCCCCTACATATAAGCCCTTCGTTAGTCAACAATTGGTACATAAAAAATAAGTCAATTAGGGCTCAATACTTTAAAACTTAAAAGTACAAATTTGGGTGCTAGAATAAGAAAATTACAACAAGTGGATTGCCTTGTTTGATTGTTTCCATCAACTAATTCCCACGCAAAGGCCATTTCAATCTTTGGTGTGGTCAATGTTCATACCAACCCAATTTCAATTATTATCATCATCATTCCATCTCCACTATGATTATACTACTACCAGTTTCGTCATTCATTAACCATTATTTTAGGGATGAAGGAAGAAAGAAAGCAATAACACCAACACGCAACCGTTTTAGAAACATTCCAATTAGAAAATTGTACACTAGGAAAAAAAAAAAATGAATGGATTGCGTGAAGATACAAAGCACCGTCAAGGAAGATGATTGGAATTTTGAAACAAATTCAAATTTGAAATTGAAACGATCAAATCAACGGCAGCCACTTGAAGAATTATTAATTTATTTCAAATAATAATAATAAAAGAGAAAATGGGAAAAAGCTATCAAGGAAGGCCCACTATTCTTTTTAGTCCATGGGGCCACTTTTACGCGTTTTGTAAAATGGTGGGGCTCACCGTTTTTTAAAAATTATTTTAGGGGTTGCCACGTAGATATTTAAATGTTAATGGTATGCGAGCTTTAACTAAAACACTTTCCACTCCAGCCCCTATTGTGTTGAAATTGAATTGTTCATCTTATAGTGGGAGGATTATCTAAAGAGGGAGTTTTTAGTAAAATACATATAATTAAATACTCCATAATTATTCACCTATTAATGCAGTTTGATTAGATCTTATAAATTCCACATCCACAATATTCATTAAAACGATAAGAATTAATTACCTGTTAAAGCATGTTTATTAATAGATTGTATTTGAGTTTAGTCCTAAAAAGAAAAATCTCTTAATATATGGTATTTAAGAAAAATTTAATAAATAATACGAAATATTTTGATTATTCACTTATTAAGAACTCCAATATATTTTGGTGGCATGATTTTAAATTTCTTGATAAAAATTTGTTTTTTAATTTCACTAATATTTAATTTTATCGATCATAAGCGGATTTATTGTATAACCCTAAACCTAACTTTGTCTTATCTTATTATAAACCTCAGTTTGGTATATATACATTACCTTTAAGTAATTTTAATAATAATTTTTCTCAAAAAAAATAAAAATAAATTGTGATATGATCATTGCATCCGAAATGAGCAAGTTAATTATGTACAATATGTCTCCATTGAACATTTTAATAATGTTCAGATGAGGTTTCTTGAACACTAATTGTATGTTCAATTCATGTGTTACTAAAAAACTTCAAGTTAGCCCAAATATTTTTATTGACTTTGCTTGAGAAAAATACCAAAACGAGTGGATTTATGCAGAAAAAGGGAAAAAAAATTATCATTGTTAATAAAATATGACAACTAAATACAATTATTCAATTAAATCACGTTCTAACCCAACGAGACAAGTTAAAAATAAACTACCCAAAAGAAAAAAAGAGTTATACAATTTAATGAGGTCTAAAACTATATTTTAAAATTGAAATGACATGTATTTAGTAATAAGAATTATTGAAATGAAAAGTGAATGATAAATATCATGTTTGAAGCTTGAAAGCTTAAACTTTTGAATCAAGCGATTATTTAATAAAGTATTAGAGTTAATTGTCTTCCTTCTTATTTTTTTAAACTTTATTATTCTCGTTTAATCAATTACTATAATTCATGTCAATTTATTATATCTTTAAACTGAACTCACATTTCGCGTCTAAAAACTTAAACTTTCGAATCAAATAATTTTACCGTTAAGTAAAAAAGAAAAGAAAAATTGACAAAACACACTAATGCATTTTGAATAAATAATTTATAGGCAAAGCTTTGAGTTAAACCCATTTTTATTTTTATTTTGCATAATGTATTAATTAGGGACTAATTAAATCAATCCAGATAATCTGCCTAAATACGAAAAATAAAACTAAAACGATAGGGGTGTGCGTGTGGCTCACACACTCTAAATGCAAGTAAATAGAACAGTGCAATTTCAGGTAAGACAAAATCACGGGAGTGGCGGGAGATTACAAATTAATTAAATATTCACGAAAATTGGTGAGGCTGAGTTATGGCACCTTATTGGCAAACCATGCAATCAATTTATAGGCCTAATTTCCCTCATTATTCAAAGAATCAAAATTAAAAGCTAATTTGTTTTGGTGTTTAGGGACCAACATTTGCCCATCAATCCTCCTTTTTAATTTAAGAGTAAATGTTATGTTCCCACCGAAGGTTTCGCAAAATGATAAGTTTTCACCACTTGTTTCATAAATTCCAGATTTCCACCTTTTAAATTAACAAAAAAATCGGTTGATACAACGATTAAATGATAAAGTGGTGGTTTGCACTGCATTAAATCTAAAATGAAAATAAAAATTTCAAAATAACCCTCAAACACCTAGTGTGCACAAAAAGGGAGAGGGATTGTGAGTCGTCGCTGGGAGGAAATCGGCCAAAAAACAAAAAAAGACCCAAACAACACAAAACACTTCAAAATGATCATCCTCTCCAAAAGACACAACCAATTCACCCAATTAACTTTAGAAATATTAAAATTTAAACCCAAATTCACAAAAACCTACAAGAAACCCTAGAGGAGGTCACTAGCAACTAGAGAGCTAACATGATTTTGGTTGTTGGGGCCTTTTGAAGAGGAGAAATCGATGAGTCTATGGGCAGTGAGAGGGTGGATTTGGGTGGTCAAAATAGGTTATAATGAGATGGATGGATGCACGAATCACGAATCATAAATTGGTCGGAATTTGATGATTAGTGGGGTCAATAAGGAAAGGGTAAGTGGGGCTTTGGCGTGTGAGGCTCGAGGAGAAGTTTGGTAGTGATGGGGAAAGTCGCCATCGTTGGAAAAACAACAAAAAAAGTAAGTGACGACATTTGCTAATGTGCTACGTATTCTACTAAAATGTGCTGCCTCCTACTAAGTAATTTTTTATTTTATTTTATTTTTTGTTAAGAGCAATATGGTTATAACGGCCTTTGCACCCTTATCATAACCTAAAAATTGTTAACGGTGTTAGTTTAAAGGTGATAATCTGAAATTTATGGAATTACGAGTGAAAACTTGCCTTTTCACGAAACCTTGGGTGGGAACATGCCGTTTACTCTGTTTAATATATAATGCAACAAAAAACAAAGCTATTATTATCAAGAAAAAAAAAACCCATAATTAATTAAGATCACAACTACCAACGTTTCGTATTAACTCAATCACTCTCCAATGGTTAACATAACAAGAAGTATAAATATAATAATGTCATTATCCAAGGAATACTATTAATTACTTCTTAAGAAAAAAAATAAAAAAACCTATAAATACATGTAAATTGGACTATGGTTAATGCTTTGTTTATAAGATAAAAAACCTCCATGAAAGAGACATTAATTCCATCCCTAATTTGACTTGGGTTAGGCGATTTGGCACTCTTTTTTTCATACGGTCAAATTGGATTTCTCCTCAGTCCTCCCCTAAATTGACTTTTAGCCTTTTATTTATTTATACTTGAATAATGGGAGAACGGCATTTTCCCACCTAAGGTTTGGCAAAAGGACACTTTCCCACCCGTCAAGTTTCAAAATGACACTTTCCTACTTTTCGTTAGGTTCTGTTAGTATTTTCTGTTAATATTTGATTGAAATAACGAAAATACCCTTAAATAGTTTATTATAAAAAAAAATTTAGTTAAGTTAAAATTTTTACTCAATTATTTATTAGTTCAAATATAAAGATATATTTTTTCCTTTGTTTATTTAATTAATTAAGAATATTGATTTTCTATATTAATTAGTAAAAATGAAAATCATTATATTATGAAAAATATTATAAATTTAGTAGATTACTGAATAATAGTAATGAAATATTGATGACATTATAAATAAATAAATATTAAGGTCATTTAATTTTAAACAATTTTATAACATTACTCCTAACTTTTTAGGTGAGGTTAACTATTTTTGACTTTTTAATAGTTGACTTTTTGGTTAATTAAAAAATAATGAAAATTTTATATAGTCAAATATTTAAGGTTATTTTCATATTTTTAATAAAATATTAATGAAAAACATAATAGAACCTAACAAATGGTGAGAAAGTGTCATTTTGAAACTTGAAGGGTGGAAAAGTGTCATTTCACCAAACCTTGGGTGGGAAAACGTTGTTCTCCCTCGTATAATATATAATCCATTCCATTTTGTATTCAAGTAATAAAGGTAATTACTTCTACATGGGTTTATCTCATTAGGTCTTGTGTCAAACTCCAATTTACCTACTTAAGTTTTCTCTAGATGTTTTGGTTAATTTTGGAGGAAATAAATCAAACGGAGATTATGAATAAGGGCATGTTTGGTACATCTTTTATAAATTTATTTTGTTTTTTTTTTTTAAATATTGAAAATAATATTTTAAAAATTATTTGTCTTACACCAGAGTGAATGAGTTCAATTCCGCAGAGTAAAGTGGAGATGTAAGAATCTTCTTCGGTCATGTTAGATTCATAAGGCCAGATTCGATCGTGTAACCAGGTCATCAAATCCACGTCATCAGCTATCCCTCTTGCTAGTTGTTGAGATGTGTGAACGTGAGTATTAATCAATCCTATCATAAACAACCATAATTTGAATATTAACACTAATAAGAGTAAATGCTTTCATTCCGAAAACACTTCACTTTCTTTCAGAAACAAAAACTGATTCATGTTAATTGGTTCCGACAGAGATGTACAGATTACCAGGAAGTAGGATTCGGCCGTGAAGATCGACGAGTTGATCGGTCAACGAGGAAAACTGTCGAAGAATATCGGCAGATTGACCGATGGCTTTGATTTGATCTCGTGCAATAAAAACGCCTCCGTTTCGAAATACTCTGCTTTCGTTGTCCATTGTAACTATCACCGCGTTATGGAGTATCATCGTTGAGCTAGCGTTGCCGCTCTTCGTCTCCATCTCTTGCTCCAGTAAGCACTGACTCTTTACTGTTTGACTCAATAACTGTTACTGACTCGACACGACAACAGTCAAGCCCCGGTCAGGCTCAGAAACGCCATTAAAATGGTAAAACGCACCGTTTTTCCTTCCAAGAGGGAGAAAGAGAGATTTATTTACTTAATTATTTTTAACTAAAATAAAAATTCAGGTTTTAACAGAGGGTAATGTTCCCGTAAACAAACCTAATGCCCAAGGGGTTGGCGTTGCGGCCGAAGGGATTTGTTCCCGGGAGAACACATTATCTTACCGTTTAGCAAAACGGCACTTTTACATCGGTCTAACTTTCAAAATGACATTTTCTATTCTTAGTAAAATTTTATTAATATTTGATTAAAAAGATAAAAATATTTTTAAAAATTTTATTTCTTAATTAGTTTATTATAAATTAAAATTTAGTTAAATCAAAGACCTTATTCAATTATTTATTAGTTGAAGTTGATTATTTGTTAATTCAAGTGTAAGGATATATTTTTTTCTTTTATTTATTTAATTAATTAGAATTATTAATATTTTATATTAATTAGTAAAAATGAAAAACATTATAAATTTAGTAGATTATTAAATAATAGTAATGAGATATGATAATATTATAAATAAATAAATATTAAGTTCATTTAACTTTAAACAATTTCATAGCATCACTATTTTTTATTTTTTTACTTTTTAATATTTGAATTTTTGGCTAATTAAAAAATAATAAAATTTAATATAGTCAAATATTTAAGAGTATTTTCATATTTTCAGTAAAATATTAACAAAAAACATAACAGAACCTAGTAAATAGTGGGAAAATGTCATTTTGAAACTTGAAAAGTGAAAGTGTCGTTTCGTCAAACCTTGGATGGGAAAATGTCGTTCTCCCTTTGTTCCCTTCATTAAGCTTTTGAATTTAAACCTTGGGATCATCTACCCCATAATAAGATTGTGGTTTACTTGGTTCTTAGGCTTATAGGGTGTTTAATAAACTTCGGACATTAGTCTTTTGAACTTGTAGGATATTTAATGAATCTCGAGAATTAATCCTTTGAACTTATAGGGTGTTTAATAAACTTCAAGAATTAATTAAAATGCGTGTAAGCTATTTCGAACACCTCGATTATAAAAAAAAAAAAATGTCCTTATAAATATTATAATAATTATTTAATAAACTATTATGTAATGTGGGTCCAATTTTAAAATAAGATTAATTTAATAAAACAGAGGAATTGAGATAGGTGAAATCCAAATTTGGTTTGTTAACTGCTTTTGATTTTTTTTTCGGCTGGTTTTGAGGGATTTTTAATTAGACTGATTTTAAGATGTTTTAAAATCATTATTTATCAGATTTTTTATGCTAAAACCTCCCAAATCGAAGTATTTTAGTTGGCTTTAAAATTTTATTCCATAAATACCCTGTCCACTACAAAATTATCCCAATTATATTCAAAAATAAAAATTTTATCATATTATGTGCGTCACCAACCATATTAAATATAAAATAATTTTTACCAATAATAAAAAAAATTATTAAATCTCATTTGTAAATGCTTTCTTGAAAAAGTGGAGTTACAATTTTTTAATTATTCGTGCAAAGAATGATAAAAAATTTTTGTCACATTTGAAGTTATAAAATATTGATTAAAATTGGGGTATTTTTATGAGCTTATATATAAATTTTATCATTTTAAAAACTATTAGAACTACTAAAAAATAAACTCACAAATATAAATTAATTATTTTAAAAATTATTATTAAAAACCTCTTAAAACCGTTACGTTGTGTACCTTAAAATTGCTGCCGTAATTTAACCTCGTAACTGTTATCATAAAAGCTCCCAAGCAGACCTGGAGCAAAACAGATTGGAAAATGTTAAAGACTAGATATTCAATCATGTACCTAACATTGTCCAATTTCACTTACTCCTTGGAAGTGGTTTCATTTGTCTTATGCTCATCCAAATCACGATTCATGTCAACTCTTAATTGGTCCAACAAGATTTACTTCCGTTACCACAAAACTATTTCATATCTTTATCTGATCTAACGTCGTTTTTGGGGCTGCAGTGATATAATGCAGACTCTTCGTCTTTATTTTATGATTGTTCGAACAGAGGGGCGAGCGAAACAGAAAAAACATGGCGGCTTTGTAATGATAAAGATGTGTTGATTACTTTATTTTATGAATTCTTTCTTGGAAGGTTACAATAAAGGAGAAATGTGGTTCATTCACTGAATTTAATCCATGTTTTTAAAAAAGTTGCACCTTTTTACAATTGAATTATGTTGTGCGGATTCGAAAGTTTCAAACATTATGAAAACGACGTCGATGCACTCAGGTTGGCACCCCACCATCTTTTGTTTGTCAAAATAGGTGCACAATATATCAAAGTCATACTCTAACGACCCAATCAGTGAGGCACGTTTATCTAAAGTACCAGGAAGGTCCACCAACGTCTGTCTTATGCTTCAAAGTGAAATTGTAATTGGAAATAGATCTTCATATTGATATGGCAATATGGGCAGAGTAATCTCTGAATATCCTTAGAAAAATGAGGATGGATCTAGGGGAGGAAGAAGCATGATGCATATCTAAATGATAACGAAGCGGAAAATGATAGGTAATTAATTAAATAATTTAAGTTTAGTCGTCCAACTAATTTAGATTGTAGAATTGTTTGGGTGAGTGTAGCATGCGTGCTAGTGACATAACTTGCTACATATTTTAAAGAGTAAACGACTATTTCCCACCCAAGGTTTGCCTTACCGACACTTTTCCACTAAAAAAGTTTCAAAATATCATTTTCTCATCCAAAGTTTATATTTTGTTAATACCCAAAGTCGATTCTGACGATGCAAATTCTCTTTGTCACTACCATTTAAACATTTGGTCTCTTCTTTATAAAACTCTTTTTATTTTGATATCTGATTTCTTGCTAATTACAAGTCATCGTAAAGTTATAGTTTTTTTGTTCTTAGCTGATTTATAACTGATTTCGATAGTAAATATTCAATCGATCATCACCATTCGGTTCATCGGCCTCCACTCTACAAAACATCTCTTATACTGGCTCTTGATAACTCACCCAACGTTGGTTGAGAAAGTGGTATGAAACTTTTTAGGTGGGAAAAAGTCGTTTACTCTATTTTAAATTAATTTCTATTAAAAAATCAAGTAGAGAAGAAATGAAATGAAATAAATGGGTGTATGTATGGTCTATTATTCTATTCCAATCCAAAGAGGGTGATGACAAAATATAACCAACTTGGATGTAGTATCAAAACTTCTTTTAACCTCATGGATCTTATCTTATGAACTTCAAATCAACATGCATGAGCCATGATGGAGATTCTTAGCCAGAAAGGTATCAGCCATGATGTAACATATGCATAGAACTTTAATTTAATAAGTCTCTTTCATCGCAATGCTTTCACACAACCAAACTCTTTAATCAATCAGTGATTGATTAACAGCAACTTGTTATATTATTGTTAATAATCCAAGATTAATTAACATTATAATAAGATCAACCACGGCCTTTTTCGCATAATTAAAAAAGATAATTAATTAATTATAAATTAAACCAAAACCAAAACCAACCGTATTTTGAGATAGTCAACTCCATCATAACAAAATAGAACTTCTTCATAACAGTAGAGTGTTCATAATCTTACAAAGATAGAGCTTTGGATTCGGATATTATTACTATCCTTTACTACTGTACATGATTATTGATTATTATAGATAATCTCAGGCACGTTCTCAAACGGAGGAATTAAAACTAAGTAAACACAAGTACTAGAAAAAGCTAATAAAATTTGATTGATTAGATTTGGTTTATGGCGATCATCGGAGACGGGCTGAGGAGGCTATAAGAGCTATGGCTCCTGGGGAAGGTACAACCTTGACGAATCTCATCTTTGTCTGCATCCATTGCTAATAAAACCTTGCAAAATACGTCAACTTTGCATGGAAGAACGAGAGGGCCTTCACTGTTGAATCCATATTCTGATTCAGCTTCTTCCAGGAGCAACTTGAAAAGTGGGTGATTTACATACTCGGTTTTGATGACAAATCTTTGTTTTTGTGGCCCAACGTAGACAGAGAAGCAGCCTTCAGGAGCCACTCGACGCTTTCTTGGACGCTTTTGATGATGATCTCCGTCATAATCAAACGAGGTTGCAGAGGCATCCATGCGTGGCCATGATTTGCTCTTCACTGTGAGACCTGGAACTGAACGTTTAAGTTTACTGCTACGCCCGATTGATTTGCATCTCTCCCATGTCTTGACGATCAAATTGCCTTTCTTCCCTTTTCCTTTACTCATCACATCCATCGTAGTTAAGGCAAGAAATTAAGATATAAACAGAAAACTAATTGGGATGTTGGGATAAATTAAAAACCACACAACGCCTTTGACGATTGATGAAGAATTTATGAAAGAAAAAAAGACTTGATTAAATAATTAACAGATGAAAAAGAAAATGAAGCAAAAGGATCGTGTTAACCTCTGTCATAAACCATATAAAACATGAACTTAATCCTCGGCCTCATTGTGTTACTCATATATTCCGAATCAAAAAAAGTAAAATCTGAAATCATGCAAGAGGGAGATGGAAATAAAGAACCCAGAAGTTAACAGAGAAATAGGTGAAACAGATAGATTTATAAAGCGGAGTTGAATGATTCAAAGTGAAATAGCCATTTAAGGGAGGGAGATGCAGAAGAGGAGAATATATAAAAACGGAATGACTGCTTCACAGTTGACAGGATATGCGATCTCAACTGCATAGCATATGTATATATACACACACACATATAAGTCCTCAAATCGAAACAAATAAAAAAAAAAAAAAAGATAATCCACTTGTCAAACTCACAAGGGGGCGATATTTTTTCTCTTTAATTTTTGGCTCTTTTATCTCTGCAATGGCGTGAAGAGGCCAGTTTCTGTGGATTGAGGAACAGATAGAAGTGGACAAATAAGTTTTACTCTTTTTTAACAAATATTTTCATTAGTTTTATCCGGGAGGACAGAATTGAGTTACAGAATTAGAAAAAAAATTTCTCTAGATTGTTCAACTAGATTTAATATATTATAT